TTTATAACCACACAAATGTCATGGTCCCACAAAGCTTTTACCCCTTAAGCTTTTAAGACCACATGTTTCAAAAGTCTTCTTTAAGAATATAATGGGTTCAATGCAAAAAATCTTAAAAGTTGAACGTATAAATTTTAAATCCTAAACTCGCCTCTGCGTATATATTGTCTTCCCCAGACCCCACTTGTGGGAACTCAATGGGATTGTTGTTGATGTTGTTGTTGTCATATTTTTAGAAGCATTTCTTTCTTAAAGCATTTGATAAATGATATAAATGCAGTGTAGTGCACCTGGAAGAGATAGGAATTCACTATTATCAGACGCTGAGATGTTGGCGAGAAAAATTCTTGAAAAATCAAAGGTAACAAGATCAACATAAGTCCAAAACGATTCTTTGTAGTCAGTTGTAAATGCTTATACTTGACTATTGATAACTTTATCACTAGCCAAATTCGAGCTTTGGGATTTGACGACAAGTTCATCAGGACATGGGAGTACTACTTTGACTACTGTGCTGCTGGATTCAAAACATGCACGCTAGGAGATTATCAGGTATATGCTGATAAATCTTTGGAGAACTTAAGCAGTCCAAGTAGAGACATTTTTATTTATTAAATTATGTCTTTAATAGTAAATACATGCATTTATCCATTTTTTTTAAAAAAATCTTGAAATTATCTAACTAAATCTGAGAAGTAAAACAACTTATAAAGGTTGCTTCTATCTTGTAGATTGTATTCTCAAGGCCAGGCAATGTTGCAGTTTTTGGTGATCCTTACAATGGTGTGCCTTCAGCTTATTAAAGTTTCTTTGTTTGTAATATTGGAACTTCCTTTTGGAAAATAAATTAATTAATTCATCAACACAAGAATCAAGCCAGATGTGTGTCAATGGTGTTGGGCTAGACTAGCATAAAGATACTCTTGACATGGTGTGCTTCAGCTAACTAGTTTCTGGGCATACGTTGCGCGTGTACCTCATGTCAATGAGTATTAATTTTTAATAGTCACATCAGTATTATTAATAAATGTGTGAAATGTGGACAAAATTAGCCATTTAATTAGAATTGTATGAATGCTTATATTTATTGTTATATACATGTATAACAATTTCAAAAGGCTAATATTTAAAGAATTTGAAGAATTTAGATAGGTATTCCATAAAAGAATGTGAAGAATTCAGATAGATATTCCATAGAAATGTTTTGAAAATTCTGAGAACGATTTTAAAATTTCAACACAAAATTATAATTTACATTTTGTACATAAACATTGAATAAATAGTTTAACACCCCCCCCCCCC